TTATTTTAAATGATTGATTTTTATCCACCCTGTGTTACACGAGCATAACATTGAATAGCTTTTGGGACTGTCATGTACAAGAGTATGTGAAGTGACAGGAACAATGAAAGCAAGATAGCTTGCTTACCAAGGGACCAACCCCTAAAGCCTCTCTTTTTTGATTAGAAGGGGACACATTTTAATAAAGAAATAAAATTGAAGGTGTTTGGGATTGAAGGATTTGATTACTTGTGTTCCAGCTGGACGTTAACATTCCTCTTGCATCCGACATAAAATCTTTCTGTATGTGGTATCTGCAATGTGATGAAGGCAGCCCGTGTAGTCATTTGAGAACTTGTTTAAAGGAACATGGGACATGAACTTGGCTCTCAGAAATGCTTTATACTAAAGCATTTGCTAAAGACAAAATGTCTCAAAATACACCTGTTTTCGATAGGAAACATTTCAGCAACACTCTGCCCATCGGATCTGCTGTGCTAGTAGCTCTAACCAGCATTTGTGGCATTATTTTGTCCTCTTAGATGCTTTACAGCAGAACTCCTCAGGTCCTTTCTCTGTTAGCAGCTGAACTTGTGCTCTTGGCACCAAGCTAACACTACAAAATTGCATTCTGAGCATGATACTGTGGGATTGCCCCCCAAGCATGACACTATGGGATTGTGCCTTGAGTGTGAGATACTATGGGATTACCCTGTGTGCGCCACTACCCCTTGAGTGTGATACTATGGGATTATGCCTTGAGTGTGACAGGATGAGAGTACCATCAACTCTGATGGCAGAAGATCCTTTGAATCCAGTGGGAAGATCGACAAGCCAACATTAGCATTCTCTCGCAAGCAAACACCATGAGCACTGAGGCAACAATCGTCCGGCATCATCTTTGCTGGGCCGGCCACATCCCCCGACTGCACAATCCCGAAGTGGGTCTTATTCTCCCAGCTGTCCAGGCAGGTGTACGCTCAAGAGGAGGGCAGAGAAAGCACCTCGAGGACCTCTTCAAGGCCAATTTGAAAAAACATAACATTGACATCGTGGTGGGACTCCATTGCCCCAGGCTGCCCCAAATGGAGGAGGACTCTGCTGCAGGGATCTCAATACTTTGAAACTTTGCAACAACAACAGGAGACAGAACACAGCGCCACCCGCCCCCGTGGAAACGTGTGCCCGAGGCGCAGCGGAGTCTGTCAGTCCTGGATAGGCCTCAGCAGCCATTTCGCGACACAAGGCAGTCATCCTGGACTGCAAGGGATTGCTGAGTGTGACAGAATTACCCACAAGCGCAGTGAGAGCCTAAACCTGTGGTGCTGCTGAGCACCCACAGCTCTCATGCAAGGGGCTCCACATGTCATTGGTTTGGGGCACCTGTATATCAGCCAGAGAGTACATCCGAGGGGAGGCCTGGACTCCTGGGTTTTAGTCCATCCCAGTCAGGAGCAGGGAGTGGGCTGCGGCAGTGGGAGGGAAGTACATGTCCAAACCAACTGAAGGTCTTTGCCCTGACCATGCAGCTCTCAAAGCCTGAGACCCCTAGGACCAAAGCTGCTAGGATGGGGAGGGAAAAGCTGAGCGAGCTGCCTGTCTCCTGGACAGGAGAGACTGGCCGAGGTGGCCAGGGAGGGGAGACAGGTGGTTAGGGAGATGCTTTGATGTGTGGCTTATGACTCCTCCTGCTCCCTTCAAGGATGGACAGGCTGAGGCAGATGCTGAAGCACAGGACGCCCAAGGTGTCCCCAGGGGAGGAGGTCAGCAGCAGGAGGCCTGTGCCAGAGGAGGAGAGCAGCCCAATTGGTGTAGTGGAGACAGTCAAAACCAGGTGGGGGACATGCCTGCTGTGCTGGAGAAGGAAACCGGCAGCTCCTGGAACAAAGACTGAGGAGGCAGAGGAGCCCTCTCAGAAAGCAGGGAGGTGGCCCTGGCTCCGGCTGGACAGGCAGGACCCAGCACAGGATAAGCACCAGGCAGGGCTGCTGTGCAGCTCTCCTCCCAGGGCATCCAGCCACCAGGAGCTGTGCCCTGAAACCAGGCCAGAGGAGGCGGCCCCCTGCACTGTCACGGAGGGGGACCCAGCTTCCCTGGGGCAGGAGGTCAGCAAGCCCTGCCCGAGCCCCAGCCTCAGCTCCAGCTCCTCCCGGGGAGACCTTGAGAGCTCTGTGAAGTCCAGGAGCAACCCGCCCTATGGCACCACCATGAAAGGTGAAGAGACAGCCTGGGTGCCAAAAACCTGGGAACAATGGGCTCACTCAGACCAATCCATCCATCCCCAGCATTACGCAGTCAAATCTTAGCCAGGACAAAGGGCCTGAGCCACACATCTCCAGTGATCCCAGTGTCATGGGCACCATTCCCTGCAGGAGGGTGCCGTGGGGTTTGACTTAGGGGGAACCATGGTCAGTGCAGGGCCAGCAGCTGCCGGGGAAGCAGGGACAGTCTGGTCCCGCTTAGTAATGGGGGCATGAGGTTGAAAATGCAGAGTCGGCACATGGGGAGGCTGTGTGTTACTTGCTCTGGCACAGGGCCCTGGGCTCCAGAAGGAAGATGAAAGCATCTCTGCACCCCCTGTGACCCTTTACACCCTCCAAGCTGCAGCAGCAGTCACCCTCTCTCTTTTCATCCTTGTGAAGTGATTCCCTTCCAGGCAAGGCGAGGAAGGGGAAGAAGAGCAGGAGGATGAAGACCTGCTGATGCTGGAGGAAGAAGCCCTCACAGACATCATACTGCACCTCCAGGGCCAAGGAAAGGTAGAAAAGTCTCCTAAGGGAACTGGCCGCCAGACCACCCTTGACTCCCAAAATTCAGCCTTTATGGCAGTCATACCATATGAACCCAAGTCTCCCCAGTGGAGACACTCAGCCCACGGGCTCTGACACATCCACCTGTGTGCACTGGTCTGACAGCAAGCCTCCCATCACAGATGCCCATATAACCCCAAGCCTCCCCAGTGGAGACCCTCAGCCCACGGGCTCTGACACATCCACCTGTGTGCACTGGTCTGACAGCAAGCCTCCCATCACAGATGCCGCCTCTGCTTCTCACTCTGCTTCCCCAGCAGGAGACCAGTGCAAGGAACGGGGGGCATCCAAGGGGTCTTAGTCCCACATTTGATTTGGGCAGGATGGGAAGGTCCCTGGCCAACACCCTATCTTTCCTCCTATCCCGCTCCGGGGGGATGCAGGACAAGGAGCATGGAGAGCGCTTCCTTCTCGCCATCCCCACACTCTGCAGAGCCACCAAGCAGAGGGGAGAGGACACCCTGGAGCCGGAGACCTGCAAAGTGGTCCTGCTACAGAAGATCATGGTGAGCCTGGCCAAGCACTGGGCACTGTGGGGAGTATGAGGGAGAAGAGACAGGGGCTCCCCAGGCCAGGAAGGCAGGGCGCACACAGGGGAGGGCAGGCATGCCTGGGCCTTGACGAGGGAGCACGGGGAAGGGAAATTCTGGGCTAAAGCCATACAGGACAGTGAGTGAATCCTGCATCTGGAAGGCAGCTGAGGTGGGATCAGGGTGTGAGCGGTTGGGTCCAGGGGTATGTGTGAGAGGGAGTTGGAAGGGGAGGGCTGGCCACGTTGGTTGCGTGGGTGCGAGGGAAATGTGGGAGGGGTCCTGCCATAGCGAGCACGATCCATCTGCCTGTGCCTGGAGCACTGGGTGGTCTCCCCTGCAGGACGGGCCTGTGACCTGTGTGGCCCTAATCTCACATCATCTTTGGGTCTCCCAGGGCCTGATGGAAACAGCGACACAGGATGAAGAGCCAAATAGGACCCTGTGCTACAGCATGGCTGCCATCGGCAGCCTCAGGTACTGGTGCCCCTGCCCAACACTTCCAGCCCTGATATTGCCTCTGGCCTTGGTCAGAGTTACTCGCCCACCCCACCCAAATCACATAGCCCCAGTGGCCATCGTACATTTTTGCAAAAGAGCAGGGGCATCTCTTTCTCCTGGCTGGAGAGGTATTTCCCTCCAGGGGTGTCAGGACGGCCTTGAAGAGAGGATAGCTGTGGGGGTCTTGGAGGAGGGCAGCAGGGTCACAGGGGCAGCGGGAGAGGGGGCTCTATTGCAGGCCTGATGCTGATGGGCTGGGAGACTTCAGACGGGTCATAACCACCTGTCATCTCCTGCTTCACTGTTGCCACCTGGTGCTGACTCCACCACCTCTGTCCAGCCCAGAGCAGTGCCCCCACCAGCCCCTCAGAGCTCTGGCTCACACAGACTCCTCTCTCCTAACAGCAAGCTGAAGCCAGCCCTGGAGCCAGCCATGGAGTCGTGCCTGCTGCAGACCACCCTGAAGATCTGCCTGACGTCCCCAAAACAGAACAGCCTTTATGTCAGGGTCAGTCCTCCTCCCCCTACACAGTCCTGCCCACCAGCCCCTGGCAGGTGCAGCCCCGGGCTGCATGGTACTGAGCCTCAGTTATCCTCAGGGATGCATCCCTGCCCTGTCAGGAGAGAGAGAGGTTTGTCCTGAGGCATCTGTATTGTCTGTACCAGGCCTGGAGAGCTCTTTTCAGAGCCTCGGACCATGCAGCAGATCCTCCAACCTCCAAGATAGGCTCGAGGCAGAGGAAGGGCATGGGCTCGTGGGTACTGCAGGGGCCAGTGGCCATTGACCTTGTTTCTCCCACAGCACCTGACATCCTGGCTGCAGTCTCCTGACGCCATAGACAGGGCGAAGGCCATGAGGAGCAGCAGCACCCTTCTCTGCTTTGCTGTTTCCCTCCTCCTGCAGTTTGAGATAAGGGGTCCCTGGAGTCAAGGGTCTTTTGAGGCTGCCATGTGATTACCCTGCTCCGGGCAGTGTCACATTTGGTCCTGGTCTTCCTGGAGCCGCAGTACAGGGAGACCTCCAGGGAACCAACTTGAGTCCCTTGGCTCCAGGCTGCGATGGGAACAGAGGGCTTGAATGCTCTGGCACTAGCTGTTTTGGCCTGACCTATCCTTCGGCATGGGGCAGCAGGAGGAGATGGACAGAGACACCCAGGCTGGGGAAGAGTATGTATGATGCAAGGTAGGACGCAGATGCATTCCCTCCCCCTCTCCGCCTTGTTAGGACTCGCCCGACATGCCCCAGATGGGTGACACCGCGGCCCAGCTGTGTCTGTCCCTCAGTCACCCAGCAGCAGACATCAGCTGCCAGGCCAGGGAGGGCATCTACCTGCTCGCCCAAATCCTGCTGCACCACAAGGGTAAGG